CTTCAAAAGTCCAGTCGCCCCCTGAAAAAGCACCTTTGGGGACAATTCGTTTAGTGATCGTTCAAAGTTACAATGGCAATGAAAAAAGTGACTGATGACCGTTTTTCCACACTTATAAATCATTGCAGCATCCCTATGGTCATGTGATCAAAATTTTGATCGTCCTGTATTTATGACTGTTGCCGTGTCCTGGGGTCATGTGATCCCCTTGGGCGACCTTCTGACAGGCAAAGTCAATAGAGGAGCAGGATTCACTTAACAATCCTGTTACTAATTTAACAAGTGCAGCGATTCCGTTTAGCAACGGTGGAAAGAAAGGAGGTAAAATGGGACAAATCTCATTTTTAACAATTGTTTTGCTTAGCAATGGAAATTTTCAGCTCAATTGTGATAATAAATTGAGGACTCTCATCTCTACTGCGATGTCACAACACTCACCCTTTGGAATACCACCACACACACACACCCATGAGATTTGTCTAACTCTCATCTCAAAAGGGGCTAAATTGGATTTCTTTGAGGGCTAGATCAGCATTGCTGTTCTCCTGCGTAGGCCGGCAAGGCGGGGAGCACAGGGGGAAGGGAGATGGGACAGATGCCTCTTGCAGCACCGTGCTGGCCAAAACGGGGCACTGGGGGGGCACTGGGGGGGAACCGCACGTGGCCGGGGAGGCCGAAAACAGGCCGCAGGCTGGTCCTTTGATATTTCCAGGCTGGCCCTGTGGGCCAGATTTAAGCACCCCCATGGGCAGGTTTCAGTTCCCAAGCCTTGAGTTTGACACCCCTGGTCTAAAGGATCTGGAAAACTGCTTGTTATTTTTTTTTTATTTTTATTTTTTGTAAATTTTATTGGTTTTTAAAGACAAAATTATAGTCAAATGATGGATTAATAATGATACTAGGGTATTCAATTTTTGATTGATAAGTTGATGAGTTATTATGAGTTATTATGCAATGTAACTGTAATCGAAATGGATGCACAAAAAAATTGTAAACCAACCGACACACTGTTTGTACACTTATGGAAGAAAGTTGGGTGTTTTTATGTTTTGTTTGTTTTTGTTTGTCTTTGAAAATTGTTATTTCTGGACACTTGCTATTTTTCAATTGTATGTCACCTGCAATTGGTGAGTGTTTTTTATTTTTTGCTGCCCAGAGCCATTACAAAGTTGGGTTGCCTTTTACACAGAGTACAATAAATGAATAAGGATCACCATGCAAGTGCCACAATGTGTGTACTTACATCGGTCTTCGCAAAAAAAGACAAAAACAAGACTCTTGGGAGTGATGACATTATCAGACACATGAATAATTTTGGCACAGCTGATAAAGATACTACTCAGGTAGTCCTCACTTACTCACCACAACTGGAACTGGCAATTCCATCACTAACCAATACAGTTGTAAAATGAAACATCATGTGAAGGTGCCAGTGGTGGGATTCAATTTGTTTTTACTACCGGTTCTGTGGGCGTGGCTTGGTGGGCGTGAGAGGAAAAGGATGCTGTAAAATCTCCAGTCAGAGGTGGGATTTGCCGGTTCTCCAAACTACTCAAAATTTCCACTACTGGTTCTCCAGAACTGGTCAAAACCTGCTGAATACCATCTCTGGATGGTGCCCAACTTATGACATCACTTTCAGCTGCGGTTGGTAAGCAAATCATTGGATAATTATTACGTGCAACATCATGTGGCCACAACTTTTGATTTCCTGCTGTCTTCCCCACTGCTTTTGCTACTCTGAATCAAGCGCACACATGGTGATCTTGTGACTGCCGGAAGCTGAGACAGGTGTGAAGCATATGAATGGTAGTCACATGCCCATGGAATGCTGTAATGCTACAAGTTCGAGGTCCGGTTGTAAACCTGCTTTTTCAGCACTGTCGTAACTTGGAAGGATAGCTGAATGAGGCAACGGTAAGGAAGGATTACCTGTAATGCAAAGAACGTCTTTTTGTCTGACAGGACAGTCAAGCTAAATGACAACTGAGCTTCAGTCTGGACATCTATGATGATCTTGCAGTTTCAGTTTTCTGATTTATAATATGGAAACTGCATACCAGATACCGCAGATTTCTTCTTTTCATGAACCCGCCCAAAATAATTGCCATTCTGGATTGCAAAATCTTCCTTTTTTTAAAAAAAAAAAAAAAGGAAAGAAAGCATTTCTGGGTGCTAGCTGAGGGGAAAAAAGTGTCGTTCTAAATCTTGAGTCAAGGTTGTGTTAAATGCCATTGCCACTAATGCAGCGATACATCAAATCAAGGTTCATATCGCAAGTTATTTATATGTGGAAAAATGAGCTCAGTGACTTTTCCGAATTCAGAAATCTACCTACTTTTCAAAGAAACCGTACATTTTATCAAATATACACTGCAGAGCAGAGTGTTCTGTACCTGCCGGTATTGCCAAAATAGAAGAAAAATTATTTAGGGATATGTAACAGAATAATAATAACAGAATGCATGTTTCTATGATTTACAACAAACAGAGATGTTGGCACCAGTTGAGGAATCCCAGACTCTAGTTTTTATTCAAGTTTCTGGTCATTGATGAGGCTGTGAAATCTCAGAATTCGCTCAATTTGCAGAAGCATCTCAAGTTTCTAGACATCTGTGAGCTGTTTTATTTTGCTTGAAAGCCGGATGTGGCCCTTAATACGGCCCCAGGTAGAATCAATAGAATTATTAGGGAAACTAGCCAAGCATGTATGTGAGAGTATAAAGAAACTATATTCCTTCATCCACTACATTTACGTGGTCATTTTTCTTTGAGAGTTCAAGGCAGTATGCGTGGAGATTTTCACTTACAGCTAGTCCTCGCTTAACAATCATTCATGTAGTGACTGTCTGAAGTTACAATGGCACTGGAAAAAAAATGAAATTTATGACCAGTCCTCCATTTTACCACCCCTGAAATAATGTGTCCCCACAATTAAGTGATCAAAATTCGGGCATCTGACAATCATTGAACATTGATAATAGTGGCAATCTCCTGCTTATCTCCCTGCTCACTGTCTCTCCCCTTTTGGCTGCCCTGAGCAGCATGGACGAGATGAACAGGATGCTCTATCTTCCTCCTACGTCCTCCATGCTTCCTGGAGGCAGGGCTAAGCCCAGCGTTGGCAGAATTCTCACAGCACCCCATTACTGCTGATTCCTGGCCATCATCTCCAACAGACCTTGTTACAGAATAACAGAGTTGAAAGGAACTTCGGAGGTCTTCTCGTCCAATTCCTTGCTCAAGCAGGAGACCCTGTAACAGTGGTGGCTGATCTTTTTGGGCTCCTGGGCCGAGAATTGCGCTCGCGTGCCAGCACCCAGAAGTCAATGCACACACCCTCCCCACCACACCCCCTGCGCATGCAATCCCTCCCATGCCACCCCCTTACCTGCACTGCACGCCAGCTGATTTTCGTCCTCCCAGAGGCTCGAGGGAAGCCTCTGCAGCCTTTGGAAGCCAAAAAATGGGCCCGTTTTCTCACTTCCGGTATTTCCGGAAATACAGGAAGTGATGAAATGGGCCTGTTTTTCAACCCCCAGAGGCTGCAGAACCTTCCCTCAAGCCTCTGGGAGGACAAAAAAAGCCTCAAACGGGTCAAAAATCAACCGGGAGGCACACGCATGCGCAGTGCAGGTAAGTTTGGCTGGGGCTCGGGTGTCCGCACAAATGGCTCTGCGTGCCACCTGTGGCACCTGTGCCATAGGTTCACCATCACGGCCCTATAACATTTCAGACAAATGTCTGTCCAATCTCTTCTTAAAAACCTCCAGAGATGGAGCACCCACAACTTCTGCAGGCGAGTTGTTCCTCTGGTTAATTGTTCTGTCAGGAAATTTCTCCTTAGTTCTACGTTGCTTCTCTCCTTGATTAGTTTTTCCCCCCCCCATTGCTTCTTGTCTTTCCCTCAGGTGTTTTGGAGAATAGCTTGATTCCCTCTTCTTTGTGGCAGCCCCTGAGATGTTGGAACATTATCTAACACTATCATGTCATCCCTAGTCCTTCTTTTCATTAAACTAGACAAACCCAATTCCAGCAACCGTTTTTCATATGTTTTAGCCTCCAGTCCCCTAATCATCTTTGTTGCTCTTCTCTGCAGCCTTTCTTCTTGTTGTTGTCCAAGAGGTAGCACAGGGGCAGTGGGCTTGAGTTGGCTTTTAATAAAGGAGAGTATTTGTAGCTCAAGGTTGAAATGAGGGGTCCTTGGTGCTCTCTGAGCTTGGTTGTTTTCTTGCAGACATTTTGTTACCCAAAGTAGGTAACATCATCAGTGCTAGTCAGAGTTGGCCTCTTTTGACTTAGTGATCCTCTGAAAGCATCTCTTGTCTTGGAAAAACCAAAGCTCGAAGCTATGGTTCACCAAGGCAGGAACGGCTTGGATTGAAAGTGAATCTTTACCTAACAACCATGCAGAGTTTGGTTAATGACAATAACTGGGACCTCTGGAACTGCCATAGCTAAACAACCAGATTATGTGATGTTTCACTTAAGAACTGCTTTGCTTAGCAATTGAATTGCCAGTTAGGGTTATTAAGTGAGGACTGCCTATATTTCATTCCCAAAACCTTTTCACAGTTAATTCTGGGGAAACTTGAATCTAAATCTCTTCAATTCTGGTCACATATCTTAACCACTACATGCCTATATTCACTTTCGTAATCTGTGTGGGGGTTTTTCTTAACCACAAATGTTTTTTATACATTTTAGGCTATTCACCCCTGCATTCATTATATGATGAATATTTTCTGACACAGACAAACAAACAAAGGGTAAACAACAGCCTAATCAAGGAACCACCAAGAACACTCCACCAAGACTGACAGGGCAAACCACTTGTATATAAACAGAGAGCAAACCCCACTCTCTACTAGCATTGATGATGTTACCTACCTGGGTAATGAAAAGTCTTCAAGAAAACCATCAAGCTCAGAGAACACCTAGAACCCCACAGTTCAACCCTGAGCTACAAACATTCTCTTCTGTTTGTAATATTTTTTTCCTCAAATGGACGTAGATTTCTGCTGAGGCAAGGCATATAGAGAGCTATCCTCTTCTTGGCTGTAAAACCCAACTTTGAGAAGTAATAACAACATTATCTATATAAGCAGGCCTTCCTCTCAGGTCTGAGGTAACTACCTTGTGTAGTCGGCCTTGGCTGTCACCCAGGAAAACAACCATGTGTCCATCTTCGATGCTGGCAGCCACAGCAGTTAGTCGGGCATCTGATTTTTCCAGTACTGGCACTGCTTCAAGTGGTACTCGACTCGCCATGGGACTGGGAGTGTGGTCCGAACCACAAGGATAGGCAGCCAAAGTGTCCTTTGGATGAAAGAAGAAAACAAGATCAATGGTTTTGACACAAATATATCATGGTAGAGTTCAAGAATACACATCACTGCCAAGGGCAGGGTTTCTCAACCTTAGCAACTTTAAGATGTCTGACTTCAACTCCAGAGGTGGTATTCAGCAGGTTCTGACCAGTTCTGGAGAACCCGTAGTGAAAATTTTGAGTAGCTCGGAAAACCGGCAAATACCGCCTCTGACTGGCCCTGCCCCCATCTATGCTCCGCCTCCCGAGTCCCAGCTGATCGGCTGGGTCTTCTTTGGTTGCCCTGCACAGGAGAACAGAGCTGAAAAGCAGGTTAGTGGGGTGGGGAGGGAATGGAGATTTTGCAATATCCATCCCGCCACGCCCACTAAGCCACACCACACCCACCAAGCCACGCCCACAGAACCGGTAGTAAAAATGTTTGAATCCCACCACTGTTCAACTCCTAGAATTCCCCAGCTGGCATGGTAGAATTCTGGGAGTTGTAACACAGACATCTCAAAGTTACTAAGGTTGAGAAAAACTGGGTAGTAAGTAGATGGGGAACACAATAGAAAATCACAAGAAGTTGTGTCGTGCACCCACAAATTGTTGTCTCCTTCCATAATTTCAACAAAGATTGTCTCATTGCATAATTTAATGGTAGAAACAAGAAAGGTTTCCCCCCCAACTTGGCTGATGTTTGACATAGTAACTCAGATAAAGATTTTCCATTATTACTACCGTCATCTGCATATTTGTAAACACCTTCTGGCAGTTAAGTGATGGAGACAATGTCCAACCATTAGACAAAACTATTTAAAAATATAATGTATAATTCACCATCTTGGTGATGATCCCTGTGGATTGCATATAAAGGCATAAATTAATTAATGCAATAAAAGGTAATGTGTCTAAGAATAAAATAAAAAAGTAAATCTAAGAGAGCTATATCTGGGAATAAAATAAATAAATCAGAAGCCAACACATTCATCACAATGCAATCAGGAGAAAATATCAAAAACAAAACCGTAACAAAAATTGTTTTCATTGCTGACTGAAAGCATGATAAAAACCTCTTTGCAGAAGATTTTCCGGGATTTGAAAATTAGGAGCAGATATGTATGGGACAAGGCCTTTAACTATTTCGGTTACAAATGGTTTAAGAGTTTCATAGAGAAGAACCAAGCATGATGAACAGTACTCCAGAGTGAACCAGAAGCCAGGACAACCGATCAAAGCGCAAAGTTATGTGGTCTCTAAATTGCAGAACAATCAGCCACTTATCTTCTACATTTTCCGAACTACGTGGGTTCTGCCCTTTTATTAGACTGCTGGAATAATCTAAGGCAGTTTTGCAATGTAGCATAAGCTGCTTGTTTCCGGGGCTGCACCTGGCTGTTGCCCAAGCCAGCTTCAGAAAATCAAGCCTGGATTGAACAGGGTTGGCGAAGGAGATGGTCAATGCTCTGTTTGGACTACAGCCATTACAGGCAACCAATTGGTTGTTCCTCTGCTTCCATCCACGCAGGGAAAGGAAGGCTGAGTGGTTGCTCTTTGTGTACACTGGTGTATCTTTCCTTTCTTCCCACCGCCCAAATCCCGATGCCTTTTCTTTTGCTTTTCCAGATGTTGGCTGCCTTCACACCCCCTTGCCACACTATTTTTGACCCTAATGCAGAGGTTATCGCTGTATCATCCACAAAGATTATAGAACAATGGCAGCTACCGATCAACAGAAGCAGCCCAAGAAGCCGGGAAGAAATGGCTGCAAGGAAAGGGAAGATGCTGTAGTCAAGCAAAGCTTTATTAAAATAATAGTACAAGTAGTCCTTGACTCATAACTGCAATTGAGACCAAAACTTCCCTGCAATGAGGCAGGGCCAATTTTATGATTTATTTATTTTTTTGCTATAGCTAAGTGAATTATTGCAGCTGTTAAGTGGATCATATGGATCCACCTTTCTCCATTGACTTTCCTTGTTGAAAGCCGCAAACAATGGCAGTCACATAACCAAGGGATGCTGCAACCATTGTAAAACAGGCTGGTTGCCAAGCAACCGTATTTTAATCACATGACTGTGGAGATGCTGCAATGGTAGGGTGTGTCCAATTTTTCAGTTTACAATTTCCAAACATTAGGGGTGCTCAAAAGTTGTGACATGCCTTGGGGATTGTACAGATATTTTGGTTACTTGAATATAATTTAGATGTTCTTGGTAAGTAACTACATAAATATCATAACTTTTTAACATGTTGTTTGTTTCATTATGGTTCATAAGTGCAAGGACCGGTCATAACCATTTTTTCCCCAATGCATTGTAACTTTGAAAGGCTGAATTTGAAACTGAATGGTTGTAAGTTGGGGACTACCTGTAGATCTGAATTCAGCTTATAGTGGGGTCCAAATAATTAGATTAATCCAAGAAAAACTCGGGCCTGTGATGCCAACACCCAAAGAAAGGTTACAAGAAGCTGATAAATCATGTAAAATGGCAGGAGGGAACTTTAATAAAGTCTCTGACAATCAGCTTTTTTTAGAACACAGCACTCTTTTAAGTAAAGATTTATCATTTCCACTCCTCATAGCCAGCCAAGATGGGCGCAGGTCCAAAATGTGTGAGCTTGGCCTCGCTCCTCCAAGCAACCTGCCCATCAAGTCGTTTAGGCTTCAAGAACTGAAAAATCATGCATTTCTGGAGCATTGCCTATCTCTGTCATCTCACCAGCACCTGTTCTGAATGTGAAGTCCTGGCTGGAAGAGAGACACAAGTTATTTTCTATCAGCAAAGTCCTTTGCAGACCTGTGCAAAAGGCTCCCTGCTCAGCAGGCTAGGTAGTATGTCAACTCACAGAGCGCTGTAGACAAGGGCCGGTATCTCTCTGAATCACCACTCTGTATTTGGCTCTGGATAACAGACTTCCATTGTGTCTGGGAGACGGGGTTTATAAATCACAACCCTGGGCAGAATCTGAAAGAAGACGGACTAATTTACAACGGGAAAGCATGTTGCTTCCTCCTATTAAAGCTCTGTTCTTCTTCCATGTTGACAATGCAATTATTCGAACCCCGTCTGAGCTCTACCACACTACTACCATTTGCTGGTCATTCCTCAAACCCACTTTTTCTACACGTGTCCCCATCAACTTCAGATTGCAAATAAGAGTTCGTTACCACTCCTCTAAGGGTAAGATGTGAGCTGGGAGAACTTTTATCAGCCCTGAAGTTGCGAAAGGCTCCCTCGCCATCACTTAAGGATGAGGGGGCTTGTTTGTCTCCCCAAGAATTCCCCAGCCAACCATGGGAGTTGATGTTCCCAAGTCTTAAAGTTGCCAAGGTTGGACACCCCTGAACTAGAGTATCGAAAGCCTTGCCAGGCCCAAAACCAAGAATGACAAAGGGTGATTCTTCCAAGCTGATGTCTTTATTGTTTACCTTCTATCTTGTCGGATTGAGAACTCTATTATCTATATCTATAATATACTGTGAACTATTAGGAAGAGGCTATCTTCACCCTCTTTCTCTCACACATAACATATGGGATGAACTGCCCCCTTGCATCTCTGGAACTGCACCCCCTCTCTCCTGGGGATCCAGCTCCTCACTACATCCCATCACAAATCTTCAGTGTCAATAACATTAGTGCAAACAGTCAAAAGACACCTCTTTCAGAATTGTTCCTTGACCTGGACAGTCAAGATGTAGTCTAAACAGGGCTTCTGCTGTACATTTGCTCTGCCTGCCCTCTGGGATTTGATGGAAATGGAGTCCAGCTATTATCCACCATTTAACACCCTTCCAAGTTTTCCTACTGCTTCTTCTATCCCCTATCTTAAAACCAACGAAGAGAAAATAAGACAGCTAAAGAGGCTATGATGAAGTAGCTGCCTAGCATCTTTTCAGGTCTGCTAGTGCACTGGTGAAAGCATATAGTGTCATTAGCATAATTTATCTGAGCAAGACACTCTGTATTTCAAGGACCAAATTTAATTAGAAGCTGACCTAAGCCAGCTTGTTTATTTCCAGTCTTAACAGCAGCACCCAAGGCCAGGCATCTGCAAAAACAAAACAAAAACAAAGTCGATTGTTACGTTTCCTCCCCCCAATCATTTTGAACCCAGTCACATCCCCCAGTCCAATACTAGGCAATTCCAGATGTTTGGGATCACAATTCCCACAATTCCTTGTGACTCAGCCTGCTTTAGTAGCAGATGGGAGGTGAAAACTCATCCATTCTAGCCGACCGTTCTGCATCTCCCACCATCGCCGTTATAGCTTTCCTCTGACTATCATTTTGTATCCTTTGTCATTATTTCGGTTGAAGGACGTGGCTGCTTATTCGCCAGCTATCTGCATCGAGAGACTGCATTTCAAACTTGGTTTTCTTATCTCAGAGCCTTTGCTTCTTTTTTCCATCGCCAAATAATGAGCAAATATAAATATGCAGGATGCAGTCTCGTTGGACTACAGCAGTTAAACAAATGAATAAGCCAGTCTTGATTTATTGGGCCTGTCCAGTACTTCCACTATCTAGCCCTGCATAAAAAGTTTCCTGGCCAGAAATCCTAGGAGCTAAATTTAAAGAGACAGGATGCCCTCTAGGTCGAAGAAGATAGTCTTATAGAAAATAGATAATAGCATTTTGTGAAAGGGAGCACATTTGCTTGGGACGTTCAGCTATGGTGTTGCCCAGTATTTCACATGAAATCTGTTCTTAACTGCGGAAAGTCTTGCAAATTGACTCAGGTACACAGAGATAATCCTTAATGGTTCAAAGGATCCCCCCCCCTCTCTCTCTCCCTCCCTCCCTCCCTCCCTCTCAAAGTGATTTAGGACCTGTCCTCCAAGTTACAACCATTGCACACACCCCACCCCATCCCCGTAGTCACATTATCACAATTTGGGGCACTCGCTCACCTGCTTACGTTTATGACTGGTTGTGGCATCCTGAAATCACGTTGAGAAAGCCAGATTTGCTTAATGACCACATGATTTGCTTCACAATCAGAG